GTATTGTCGTGTGGCCGTACGGCCCCACGGGGATGGGTTGGTGAATGGGGGCAGGGGTGGTGTATGGGTGGTGTAACACTGTAACCAGGGGCCAACGGCTCGGTTTTGTATGGGTTGTGCTTCATCATCGATTCATTTATTTGAAGCAACTGCTGTGACGCAAGTGTGCTTCGCGACTCTTTGTTGTCACACGCTGCGGTTGTGACATCATGACGCGGAACACTGGCAAGGAGCAGGTGGCCCCCGACCAGGCCGCGACAACAAGTGAGAGTGGTACAAGAAAGGGACACAACTCAAAGACTTTCGACTCTCCATTCAAGATTGATGCTGGTGTGGATGCCAAACGCGATGACCCTATGTAGCATTTTGTTGCACGTGTCCGATACTTGTACCCCGAGACGGCGGTGGGGAGGAAGAGTGGTCGACGATGTGTCTACAGATTGTGCGGGAAATCCATTTGTGGGGGAAGTAGAGAAGCGAAGGAACATTTCTTCAAAAGCAAGGAGTTTAGATGCCCGTCGGGGACCCCTGCTGTGTATTATACCATATGGGCGAAGAACATGGACAAGTGTCCGAAGGACTTTGTTGTCTCGATTGAGGAGTTGAAGAGGCTCCCTCCTGGCGCTCCGGCATTCCAGTGGCCGACACTTTTATTCCCAGAGGACTCAGAGCCTCGCCGGTCGCTTGCTAGTGAGGCAGGGCCGTCTCGCGGTGCAGTTGGTGCACCGGTTCTGGCACCTGTGGCGGGAGGACCGTCGGCCGGTGCAGTCCCACCGCCGGTACTTGGAGGGATCGCGGTGCCGTCGGCAGAGGCAACGAGACCGCCACCTGCGTCGTTCGAGGGTCACCGTGTCTCTCCGTCGGTTGGATTGCATCCTATGTTCACGACTACTGCGGCCAGAGCATTGGCTGCAGCAGGAGCTCCTCTTGCGGGTGATCGAGGCACAGCTGCGGCAGCCACGGCTCGGTGGTCTCCACCTCGACCTCCACGTTCAGCTCCATCTTTGGCAGCGGCTGACTTGCGGGCGCCACAGCGCACAGGCGCGGTACCTACGTCGCGGTGGTCTCCTCCTCGTCCTCCGCGTTCAGCTGCCCCTCAGTCGCACCCACCACTGCACCAGGATGTGCAGGGGACTGCAGCTCACACGCATCCACCATCGACTCAGGCGGCAGAGGGCGAGGGTCCGCCCCCACCAATTCCACTATCTGATTCTTCGCCCACGTCTGCTGCCGAGACTGCCCCCACATTCGCTGGTGTGGTCGCAGGGGATTTGGATCCTATGGAGCGGCGACGCAACATTCCACTTCCACAGGCCGCCACACCGGCGAGTCCAGCTGGTTTGTTTGACATGAGTGCCTCTGGTACGGTCGCACGAGGGAGGGGCACATACAAGCAGCAGGCGGTCACCTCGTATTATTCTGACCCTAGAGAGCGTGCATGACACATGACGATCATGCGGTTCATCGTRGAGAGTGGCATGCCATTTAACTGCGTGAAGCTTGAGAGCTTCARACGGATGTTCACAATCATCATCCCTCCTGGGGTCCYCGGGGCTCCCGTGCCTAARCCCCCGACTTATCACRTGGTTCGAACGACGTTGTTGGACGAGMTGGATGCAGAGGTGCAGCGGTGTGTGAGACCAGTGCTCGATACCGCGCGTCAGAGTGGTTGCACTATTATGACGGATGGTTGGACAAACATCCGTGGTCAGACATTGTGCAACTACCTTGTCGGTACAGAGAGGGGACCCGCGTATCTTGCCACTGATGTTATGCGGGGGAGGAAGGACGCGCCAGCATTGGCGAAGGCATGGTTGCACAGGCTGAAGCCCCTTGATATCCAGCTCAACAACATCACGGCGTTTGTCACGGATTCTGCAGGTGTGAACGTGTCCGCCATGCAGATATTCGAGGAGGACGAAAGCGTCAAACATATTTTGGATTCCGTGTGTGGCACATGTTATGGACCTCATCTTGGAGGACATTGGGTCGATTGGATGGGTGGCATCACGCATTGCTCAGGCGCGACTCGTCACGAAGTTCTTCAAGCGCCAAAGTCACGCACGCGAGGCTTTGGAGAAGAAGACGAAGCTGAAGTTGTTGCTGCCCGCAGAGACTCGTTTCGGCACCAACGTCATCATGATCAGGAGATTGTTGGATCTGCAGACCCATCTCATGCAGGTCGTTACCGAGGACCCATGGCGCGACACTGTTTGGGCCACGCGGAAGGTCGGTCAGGATGCCGCTGAGATCACAGTATGTGTGGGGTCTCCTCCATGGTGGGAGGATTTGAGGCGTTTGTGTAATATCATGGACCCGGTCATGGAGATGCTGCAGATGCTGGACAGTGACACACGGCAGATCAGCAAGGTCCTGCGTCGGTTTGAGATTATGATCGCATCCTGTCTTACCGCGTGCGACTCCCTCACCGCGACAGAGCAGGATGAGATCCTTGAGGTTTTCGACAGGCGGCGCACCCTGTTCCGTACTCCAGTGCACATAGCGGCCATGATGCTTGATCCTGAGTTTCGGGATGCCACCCTGCCGGACGGCGATGTGATGCAATAGGGGTTGATTGCCGCTTTGGTTCAGTTTGGCTACCCCAAGGGATCTCCGCAGCACATCGAGGTGCTCACCGCGATCGACTAGTTCCATGCCAGGGAGAGGCCTTTCGACAATGCCACGATGGATAAAGCGATGAGGAGCTATGAGCACCCGTCCAGTTTTTGGGAGTCGAAGTCGCGCAGGTTTCCACACACCGCATACTTTGACATGAGGATCCTGGGCGTTTGGACGACAGTGTCGCCCTGTGAGAGAGCTTGGTCCCGTTGGAGTTTCATCCACTCGAAGACTCGCAACAGGTTGGAGGTTGGACGGGCTGAGAAGCTCGTGCGGTGCCATTGGAACCTCCGTTTTCTCGACCGTCCATCTCTGACCGAGGATGCTCCTCACGACACACCCGATCAATTCGGGAAGTGGGTTCACTATTGGCAGCATTTGGAGGACGATTTGCCCACTGACCAGCCGCTTGTTGCGGGGAGTGGAGCAAGATTGGCAGCCACACAGAAGGAGATGCGTGTGGCGAGGGAGCGGATGCGCAGTGTTTCTCGCATGGGCACCGAGCGCCGCCTTGTCCAATCGGACAAGAGACGACGTGGACGTGTTCGGGGTCGTGGCGGGYGTGGTGGGCGTGGGGGGCKTTSTSGTCGTGGACGAGGTGGGCRTGGGGGACGCGGACRTGGATCAGCGGGCGGGATATGTCCTCGTAGTGCGCARCCTGGGCTGCGTGATGAGGCGATGGTCGACCTTATTCGTTTCCCTCGACAGCATTGGGACGAGGGTGATTTTTTGTATCACAGCTCCGATAGCGACGACGAGGATTTCTTCTTTACCGCCATGCCGCGAGGCGGGGACGACGACGGCAGGCCGGACGACGACCGTCCGGATGGTGACGATAGTGATGATGGAGCGGGCGATGGTCGGGACCCTCGATCGTTGAGACGAGGTGGTGGCACTGGTGGGAGAGGTGTTGTTGCACCACGAGATGCAGCACATGATGGCGGAGGATTAGACGTCGTCGACAGTGGAGGCGGCTCAGGCGGGCCACAGGCCGAGGATACCGGAGCAGCGCTCGAGCGTACACGTGCGGATGTGGCTATGGACGCCGAGCAGCATGCGGGAGTGGACGTTGTCGACGGCGGAGGCAGCAGGGATGGACAGGCCAGTCCCCCGCATGGCTCGAGACCTCRCCTCGTACRATTGCGGCATGGGYCGAAGAGGACACAGTCGATTGCCGATCGTGTGCGGCACCGCCACGGGACCCTCCCCCCCACCGTTCGTCCACGAGCCGTTGAGTCTGAGCTTGTCCCCGTTTCCGAGGACTCCATGAGTGATGGGCCCGTCGATGAGCGACACCCGTCACCTGCCGGCTCGGCGCGGGAGACACATCCGATTGCCGACGGGGCACAGGAGGACGCACATCCAGTTCATGGCGCAGAGCAGGACGCACATCCACTTCCACACAGTCCAGTGCTCGGTGGTGGTATGGACGCGGTTGATGTGTGCATGGAGGTGATGGAGGCGATGGACTTAGGATGTCCCCCTGCGCCGATGACGGACGTAGATCAGCGCGCCGAAGCGGCGAGTGGATTACCACGCACAGATATCTCAGGAGTGTCTACCATGGAGGATGGTGAGATAACTCCAGTGGCGGGAGGCGTAGGAGACGGGAATGTTCGCCTCTCTCACCCCACCGGCAGTCTTCCTCGAACTGCTGACCTGCTCTCCATAGGTTCTGCACTCGATGGGCTCCCCGACATCCGCACCCTCGTCTCACCGTCATTGCCGTACGTGCAGCCCCCTTGCCCTGATGGTGGGAGCACCCGGGCCGCACGAGACGAGGATGTCGGCCTCGCGTGCCCCGACGGTAGTCTTCCTCGCATAGGCGACATGGTGGGCATGGGCACGCTCCCCGACAGCATGTTTGGTGCTGACACGATTATTCCACCATCGTTGCCGCTCATGCCGTCCCCTGGCCTCCAGGGTGGGCCCGCCCGCGACGCAACAGACAGAGGGTTTGACGAGTTCGGTGGAGATACGATATTGTCTGTCATGGCCTCTGCAACCCCATCCATATTCCGGGTGGGGAAACCCCACGAGGGCGCTCTAGGCTTGGCCGAGACCACGACACTCCATGGAGGTCTGCCACATACGAGGGACGGGCGTAGCTCCGCACAACGTAGCCTCGCTGACTCTTTGGACGGAGCGTCTTCTGACAGCGGCGCGCGAGAGGGTGCGCCATTGGGTGGACTTGGAGGGGATCCTTGTGTGGGAGCACCGTCGACGACCAGGGGTGGAGAGGGTCGATCAGGGGCACCTCCAACCAGCGCGAGCCACGCAGAGCCTGGGAAGGACATTACACCAGCTTCGTCGGCTGCCGGTCGCACTGGTGACAGACCTGCCACGCGCATGGATTCGGCTGCCGGTCGCACTGGTGACAGACCTGCCACGCGCATGGATTCTGCACCACATGCGGCCGGGAGGGGCAGTAGGGAGGAGCGACAGGGAGGAGCTTATGCGGGGGGGTCTGGCCCACCTGTGCCAAGGTTGGCAGCATCGTCTTTTTACGACCGGGGGAGAGCAGCACCAGTCGATGGCGGAACCGCGGCAGGGAGGAGTGCATGCGGCATGCCAAATGTGCCCTTTGGAACACGTTCCATCGGCGCTGTTGGCGGTCGTAACCATGGTGCGATGCGTGAGTATGAGGACCAGCATGGCAAACGGCTGGCCACGAAGACATCAGATGTTGCCTTCACCAGGGTGGTGAAGGCTAGTATGTCGTGTGCAAAGAGTAAGGGCGGACACGAGAGGTCTTCACAACATTCGAGTCGTCGTGGCACCGCACCCAGGGAGTCTGTGCATGGTGACACTCAGGACGAGGAGGTTGCTGCAGCGCATGGTGGTGTACCGTAGGATGGACAGGCAGGTGATGGAGGCCGTTCACGCAGATTGTCACGCGTGCATGACAGCTCCGGCAGCGCAGGGGACGAGCGGCGCAACCACACCGAGGGGGCTGGTCGTGGAGAGAAGAGACGAGGTGCTTTCACCATTGTACACGATGACAGTTCTGACATCCCGACCGGCGAGTCGACGGGGGCCGAAGACCCAGGTGACTCCGATTATAGACCGGATGGATCTCGACCTGCACGCATGGAGTATGGATCTCGACCTGCACGCATGGCGGACCAGCACGCATGGCGGATGGATCTGATCCTGGAGGACGTCGACTCAGACGCAGGGCAGCACTCGATGCACAGGGACATTTGACTCCTTCGACTCTGAGACCATTCATCCCCTGGCCCCTGGTTGACAGGGGCTAACAGGCTCGTATAGTCCTTCTGGCAATAGAGGCTAGGCGACTTCAGAGATTGACCCCTGCATTCCCACGTCGTGATGGGACTGACGATCAGAGAGAGAGGCAGACAGTCACAGACATAGGGGGAGTGACAAGGGGGGGGGTTGTGATGGATGTGATGGTGGAGGCAGGGAGGAGGGTGGGCTTGGCAGTGAGAGAGAGAGTGAGAGAGAGAGAGACTAGTCTTCTACATGGGCATATCTATTTTTGTCGGGCCCATTGTATTTTAGTTGTGTTTGAGAGAGAGAGTAGTCCCCTACACGGGGGTCGTCAGACTCGTCAGTGTCGTCACCATCGAGCCTTCGGCGTGGAGTTTGAACCGTTGTATTTTTGTTGTGTTTGAGGTTCATATGCTCGCTCAATGTACTCTCTATGTTCGGGTTGCGGCCTTAGAGGAGTACCATTGTAGCCTTGTAGGAAGTTGTAGCCTTGTAGGCACTATATTTTTCTTGTGTCTGAGGTTCATATGCTCAATGTCTGTACTCTCTATGTTCGGGTAGCACTCTGTATGTTGTAGCCTGTAGGATACTTCACGGATAATGGTTTTTGGAACTTTGTGCACTGTCGCTCGCATTGTTCCATCTTGTCTCATTTGGATTCTCATTCTATGCAGTTTCATTGCCTACTATTCAGTACATTTGTTCTTGTTGAAATCACACCATGAATTGTTGTCGACTTTGTTTGATGTTAGTTACAACAGCAAGTGACAGCAGTTGTCAGCAGGGAACCTATTGATGCGGAAATTGCGGTGGTATGACCGTATGAGTCCGTATGACTCTTGCACATGTTTGGTGTTAGTGACAATGAAGAACCTATTGATTCTTGACACTGTTTGTCAGTAAATCACTATGTTTTACTGTACAAACTACTATTAAGTGTAGTAATTAGTAATTACTGCAGTAAGAGTGTGTATGACTAATAATGGTGTGCAAATAATGGTGATTATTGATCTATAATTACTGATGTTCTGATTTTTTTATTTATTATTATTTTTTTTTTTTCTTTCATTCTCTGTATTTTGCATTAGTAGCAGGCTAGCAGCATTACATCTTTGTGTAAGTTAAACGGAGTTTAAGTAACCATGCATTATGAACCTCCGGGGGCCGCCGGCCTCCGGGCCACAGTCCCCCGGCTCCTGCCCCCAATCGTAGGCCTTGCGCGCGCCATGCAAAAAAAAAAAAGTAGGTGGTTTGCGAACTTCCACCACCAGCCCCCGGCCCTCGGTCCCCCGGCTCCGGCCCCCAACCGCAGGCCGCACACCCAACAGGGTCCAAGGCCTTAGGCCACCAGCAGGTCCAGCATGCCCCGCCACACGGCCCACACCCGTCCGCCAACTTGCACCGACCCCCAGCTCTCAACAGGCCACACCGACCGTGCCGCGCCACAGCAGCCCTGCACTGCCTCAACACCCCCCCCCCACACACACCGGTCGTGCCGTGCCACAACAGCCCTGCCACCCGCACCCCGGCCCCGACACTGGTCACCCGCACCCCGGCCCCGGCTCCGCACCCCGGCCCCGACAACCGCGACCCCGGCCCAGGTGAACCCCGACCCCGACCCCGACCCCGACCCCCGCGCCCCGCGCCAGCGCATCCCCGGCCCCGACCCACCGAACTCAACCCCGACCACCGCCGAATGACCCCCCCAGCGGGGTGGGGGGACCCCGGTGGGGTGGCCCAGGGGGGCACTTTTCTGCAAAATAGCAGAAAGCGCCAGGGGGTGCCTGGCAGCGGTGCGCACCCCACCAAATTTTTTAAATATTTTTTTGGATTGTTTTTCGATTTTTTTTTTACCCCTCCCGGCCCGGGGGCAGGGGACCACCGCACCGGACCCTCGGGGCTACCCCGGACCCCCGGGGCCGGGGCCGTGACAACCCTGTCCGCAACTGCCATAATCTGTTGCAGCGTGTGATTGATGGGGGAGAACTGTTTCCGTAGTTTCGCCCTTATCGTCCGTCTACAGAGTCCGTCTATAAACAGATCTCTCCCTACTTGCTCGCCCCGCTCAGTTTTCACAAACATCCGATAGAACCGGTTTCGATATTCTGCAATGGACTCGAGAGGTTTTTGAACTCGGTCCTTGAGCATGTAGAGTGCTTGCTCTGGATTGACATAGTCGAATCGATTCAAGAAGTCTCGATCAAAAGTAGGGAGATCCACCCATACGTAGGTACTAAACCAATGATGAGCGTCCCCTCCTAATCAGGCGGGAATGTTTACCTGAGCTTCGTTATCGTCGTACTGTTGCTCCCGAAGCGTGGCTAACCATGCTCCAGCAAGATGATGTGCAGGGTCAAACAGATAGAGATCAGGTGGCGTCATGGGAGCTCTTGCTTGTGGGGCGGGTTGATTAGGATTTTGCTGTTGATTGGCATTCTGCTGCTGTGGGTTCGGATTCTGTGGATTAGCGTTCATATTGGCTGCCCGACGATTAGCCGATCTGCTTCTAGTGATGACGGGGTCGCATCTATGCGCGTTCTGGGGTCGAGGTCGCCCTCGCTCAATTATCACGCCATTAATCCTTCCAACCCGGCCACGTGTCGGGCTCCGATACCAACCTCACGCCCAGTGCGACTTCCTGATCGGAGTGGGGTGTGGGCCTGGAAGTGCGAAAAGGGGTGTGCCAAGGATTTTTGGGAAAGTGGGGGTGGAGTCCTAGGTCAGAACTGGGATCTCCTGTGACACAGTTGTTCGGGGGCACGGGTGCAATTTGACAGAGAGGACGGCGGTTCATCAGAAGATCCCTTCGGGGTGGGTGTGATCCCGAAGAGTCCGGTCATCGGTTGTCGCCACGTGGCGCCGGTCGTCGTACGTTCTGGTTGGGCCCTCGCAGTCCCGAGGCTCTCTGGTTGCCGCGTTGTCGGCGATTTCCGCAATGCGTGATGGGCCAGTAGGGGGCTATGGCTTTCCACGGGATGACCCTGAGTTGGTGATACGGGAGAAGAAGGCAGAAGGGAGGGAAGTTAGTGGAGATAACGACAAAGCCGGGGGAAATAAAGTAGTGAGTGTGGTCCACAGTGGGGAAATCAGAACACCGTGGATCGCTGGTTGTGGCACAGTGGAACTCTCTAGGACACAGCCGGTTTTCGGTTAGGCAGGGGAACCTCTATCGGAGGCACTCCTCAATCCAAGGGGTGAAATACTCCGGGTCGTACGACGAATCTGAGCTCCCGGAGCGCGTCATTATGTCATCGTAGAGCTGCAAAAGTCCTAAGGACGTGTCCTCATCGATTGCAATCACTGCTTGTGAATACGTGTAGGCTGTGCGAGTCGCGCTTACATGTGTTCACACGGGATGATTGTTTCGTTGTTGACACGGAAGGGTCGCATCCAATCAGGCAATATCCCCGTAATCGTTAAGTTGTGAATCGACGTGCGGGAACTCGTATAAGTGCGCAGATCAAATCGCACCTACTTGTGGCCCTATGCGGCGTTCGCTGGTTTTCTGGGCAACCAGTTATCCGATCACCTAATCATTTCTTAATTTTCGAGTATGCAAGATGCAACAACCACAACAGCTCGATCAGAAGATAAGCAAAGATGGAAATAACATTGATGACTACGTAAAATTCCTACCCTACTTTAGAGTGCATCAAGACAGTAAACAAAGGCAAGGATCAGGTAGAAAGACAAGCAAACAGACACGACATCCATTCATCCATTCATCCATTTACACACCATATCCGAGATGGGAAATCGCAAAGACAAGGGTGAGCGAAAAACCAAGTCCAGATTCCGAAAAAACAGAAACGGGCAAATCGCCCTGATCCGAAATCAAAATTTATATACACCAGCAGAGAGGGAGAAAAGACAAAAGAAACAGCAAATCTGCGTCCATCGACCTCAACTCCCTCTTCCTCTCTATCTTTCTCCGATGCGGACAGTCCGTCGTCACGCACAAACCCACGAAGTCGTCACCCCGCTTAGTCCTCCCGCACCCATCTGGTTCGCCCGCGCCCACAGTCCGTCGTGGCCCGCGTCAACCCCGCGCGTTCAGCACCAGCTCGTCGGGTCGCCCGACTCCCACTTCAACTCACCTCTTACTTCGCTCGTGAGCCGACCCTTCCTGATCGCGCTACCCCGAGCTTCCACTTAGCTGGTTAAGAGAGCTAACTAATCGCGCAACCGAAATTTATAGCGTGCATGCATGCGTGAAAAACACGGAATTACAAGGACTTAGAAAGAAAATTAGAGAGGGAGCGCGGGCGCTTTCCATAACCGGGCGGCGGCGTGGGGGACGTAGCCGCTCTCAACGCATCGATCCGATCATGCAGACCACGGGTACCAAAACATAGCGAAAAGAAAGAGAAGACGGGCGGGAAAGGCGAAACACAAGAAAAAAGATACAGTTACAATGACGCCCGCCCAAAATTACAGTTACACACACAATTAAAGGCGCCGACTAATCAGAGTTTCACTGCAGCCGCACGAAGAAGCGCGTAAGCAAAAAGCGTCGCGCGACCAAGAAAAATCCTAATTACAAAATTCCTAAATTCCTATCTAATACAAAAAAAAGGCGAGAAGGCACGAGCTCCGAAGGGAAAGTCCAAAATTCCGAGGGCCAACGAGGCTCGCCAAAATTCAAAAAGGAAAATTAAAAAAGAACGACGCAAAATTCCC